GTGTGTGTGTGTGTGTGTGTGTGTGTGTGTGTGTGTGTGTGTGTGTGTGTTGAGTCCTCACAGGTGATCTGACGGTTGTGTTCAGGTCCAAGCTCTGCAGCCTATCAGTGGGAGCTCAGGTGCTGTCTCTAGGTGGTTGCCCCCTCCAGAGGCAGCCAATCAGAGCTCAGGAGCAGTGAGATGGAACAGGAGCCCTGCTTAGTGCAGGTTTGATGCCCACCATAGTCCAAAGCTGCCGGCGCAGCAGGCCGGTCTCTGGGCTCAGGGTGTACAGTTTGTGGAAGTTGTCAGGCTTGGTGGGTGAAAATCAATCTCCTGTCTTTACCTTTAATCCTGCACTGAAGCTTCTACTTTCCCCGCTGCGGAGTTCTTAGTTTGAGGGGAAAAAAGATGAGTTTGGACTGAAACYGCAGTCAGGTGGTCCTGTGAAGCTGTTCAGACTCGTTCTCACATGCTCCACGAGGTTGTTGATGACCAGCAGGTCAGCAGAACATCAACATGCTCCAAGTTCTGAGTGTTCAGTGAGTTTAGCATCGATAACAAGAAGCAGCTACTCACGGCTGTTTGTTTAGCTATTTTTATTTTACGATACAAAGTATTGTGTGGAAATGTGAAAAACTAGTATTGCACCTGAAATTACTCCAGAATGAACAGAACCAGTGGGATCACTGAGTCTCCTTCCTTTATTATCACCCATCACCACGAAAGGTTCTTAAGCTTTTTGTTTTTCAGTGAACTCAGTAAATATCCTTCGGACATCTACAACTGATTAACRTCAACCTGATTCAAGATGGCCGCCACAGATCRGCTTTTAAAACTTAAAACTTCAAAGTAAAAGCTAGAGACAAGAAACYAACAGATGCTTCTGTACTTACAGGTGTGCCTTGCCAACGAGTAGTTGGATGACGCTCCACTTGTTAGCCCGAAACCTTCRGGCGCCTGTCCGCCCGCTCGAGCTCGCCCTGAGCCTTTTGGGGGTTCGATCTCGGCGCCAAATTCAGCCCCGATGACTCCAAGCAGCACGATGGCGGTGGCCTGTTTGCGWCGCTCCTCGTATGAGTTGGAGATCTTCTTGGCGTTTGGTGGAAGGTTGGACAGACAGCCTGGGGGAGGGGGAGAGAACGAAACCAGCATTACTTTATGGGTGTCATTCATTAGCATATAGTYGTTTGTAAATAYGGGAAAGTTTTTCTAATTTTGTGCCCATTTTTATGYGGAACWAATRTGAATTACAAGCCATCAAATCACGACTGATCAGTGCTAAATATGGATTTGAACACATTCAGGATGCACTTTAGTGCTTTTAAAGACAAATAACTGATCAACTTTGAGAAACAGACTCCACCCCTATTTTTTGAGGGAAAACAAACAAGGGCAAAGCCATTACATAAAGACAAAGTTTTTAGCCATTTTGTCAAAAACTGATACCATTCTTTTAAAATTTTTGGTTAAAAACTAACAGAAGAGCAGTCATTGCTAAAGGACAGAGGGCCTATTCACTTTAACAGACAGACTCCGCCCATTTTTGGGTAAAAACAAACAGGGGAGGAGTCATTGTTTCGGAAAGAGGGCCTATTCACTTTAAGACAGACTCTGCCCATTTTTGGGTAAAAACAAACGTGAGGAGTCATTGTAAAAGGACAGATGGCCTATTCACTTTAACAGAGACAGACTCCGCCCATTTTTGGGTAAAAACAAACAGGGGAAGAGTAATTGCAAAAAGGACAGAGGGCTTATTAACTTTAACAGAGAGAGACTCCGCCCATTTTTGGGTAAAAACAAACAGGGGAGGAGTCATTGTAAAAAGACAGAAGGCTTATTCACTTTAACAGAGAGAGAGACTCTGCCCATTTTTGGGTAAAAAAAACAGGGGAGGAGTCATTGTAAAAAGACAGAAGTCTTATTCACTTTAACAGAGAGAGAATCCGCCCATTTTTGGGTAAAAACAAACAGGGGAGGAGTCATTGTAAAAAGACAGAAGGCTTATTCACTTTAACAGAGAGAGAATCCGCCCATTTTTGGGTAAAAACAAACGGGAGGAGTCATTGTAAAAGGACAGAGGGCATATTCACTTTAACAAAGACAGACTCCGCCCATTTTTGGGTAAAAACAAACAGGGGAGGAGTCATTGTAAAAGGACAGAGGGCGTATTCACTTTAACAAAGACAGACTCCAC